CAACTGCCATGCTCCACGCTCTACGAAAACCCATTGGAATTGCTTTGGTCCTTAAACCTGGCCATTTTTTCACTATCCGAGCCCAGCGTTCGGGCTAGCATTAGCCCTTCTTCCGCCAGGATCTCCCCCAATCCCCAGACCCGATGGGCATGGGGAAGCGAGGCGGAGCGATGGGTCGGACTTGGCGGCGAGAGGACCGCTCTTCAGTGTCCACCTCTTCTCTGTCTCATCCTCCTGATCATTCTTCTCCCCCACGTCCAGGCATATCCAGATGCCCGGTCCTGGACCCTTTGGCTATCGAGTTTCTGGTCGAGGCCAGCTTTCCTGGGCCTGGAAGGTTCCAGGACTGGCTACTGAGTTTCTGGTCGAGGCCAGATTTCCTGGGCCTGCAAGGTTCCAGGACCGAGGACGCAGGGTGGTGGCAGAAGAGGGCGGAGAGCCGGGAGCGCAGAGCGGAGCGCACGGGGACGGAGGCAGCGAGTAGAAAGTAGAGGGCACAGGGAAGGGAGGAGAGAGAGAGAGAGGGAAGCAGAGGGTGCACAGGAGGAGAGATTTGGGAGCAGAGAGGGGAGGGTGGACGGGTAGAGATCACATGCAGAGGAGACGGGGGGCCAGGGTAGAGAGTAGATAACAGGGAGTACACAGTCGGGTCAGGCGCGCTGGCGCCACACCTGGCGTCCAACCCCCTTACCCATCCATCCCTTGGCACGGCGCTGGCTGTGTCTCTATCCGCGGGCGCGTTGTCATCGCGGACCTGGAACTCTGGAGGAGACCCCATCGTCTCATTGCGCGATCGCGGCGAAGGGAGCTGCACTCCCAGGAGGAGGTGGGCGGATGAGCGGGAGGGATGAGCAGGAGACAGGGCAGGACGGCGAGGAGGGAGGCGGACGAGGACGAAGAGCACCAGCTCATCACAGGAGGTGGAGGGAGCGGGAGGAGCAGGAAGGCAAGAGGGGAACGCGCATCAAGGGGAAAGGAGGGGTGAGCACCGTTTAACCAATCCCCGTCCCCAGCGGCGTGGCCTGGGCCCCACTGGCCGATTTACTCCCCAACTGGGGCGGTAATTTGGTGGGGGTCTCGAAGAGGATGCGGATGGGGATGGGGGCCGGTTAAACAAGACTGGCATCAGGGGAAAGGAGGTGGGCGACAACGGCGAGGGAGGACCCCGGGTCCAGAAGAGTGGCCCGCGCAGGGGCGGAGGCGCCGGTCGGAACGACGGGGGCAAGGCCCAGATCCTAGAGCGCGGCCCGCGCTGCAACGGGGACATTACGCTTGCAGGGACCGAGGGCGTTCGGATTGGAAGAGCAGCTGCTAGCCAGCGTGGGCCCCGAACGGTGTGTTCTAGCAATCTATGTCGTGCGATCCGTGTGGCGCAATATCTATCTCAATATATCCGCCGATCCGGCGTGTGAGTTTCAAGGAGTCTCAGCTACAGCCTCGAGGCTGAGCCTCAGCCTCTGGGGGGGTTGCCGGGGTGGCTCTGCCGGGGAAGGGGGGGTGGGGGGGGGGGTGCGAGTTTCCGGCGGATGCGTTTTTTGACACCCCTCACAAGGATCGTGGCCTCCGAGGGGGTTCCGAACTCGAGTACCACCCCTCCCGCACCAAGAGGCTCCGAGGAGGCCTCCAAGAGGCCCCAAGGGGCGCAGAAGAGGCCCCCAAGAAGCCCCAAGAGGCTCCCAAGAGACCCCCAAGAGGCCCTCTAGTGGCCCCAAGAGGCCCAAGAGGCCCCCAAGAAGCCCCAAGAGGCGCCCAAGAGGCCCCCAGAAGTCCCAGCCAACCACGAGATCCCAACCAGCATCCATGAGGCCTCTGACCCACCACCCACGCACGGTGGCGGGATAGGCCGACGGCCACTGGATAAATGCTGAGTGAGAGGAGGGGAGGGAAAAAGAGAGGAGGGACGAGGGCGAAGAAGGATCACATCAGTCGGAGCGCCCCGGATCGGCGGCACTGGCCGAAGGCCACTACAATATATATATATATATATATATATATATATGTATACTGCCATCTATGTGGCGGATGTTGTGCACTCTGCGTGGTGCAATATGTCTGTTGCAGTCCAGGTGGTGCAGTTAATGTAATGCAGCATTGTTGTGCACCCTCTGTGGTGAATCATCTGTTGTGCGATCCATGTGGTGCAATATGGGTGGTTGTGCAAAAACTATATGGTGCAACCTATGCCGTGCAATCCATGTGATGTCATCTATGCTCTGGTCGATACGGGAGCGTGCCGCAGGCGCGAGTGTTGTTTCGTGCTTTCTAGGTGGTGCAATGCAGCGGTGGCGACGAGGCGGCGACGGGCCACGACGGCGACGACATAGGCGCAAGACCGGTCACACGGTCCAGACGACGGGCGGCGACGGGGCGGCGACGGCGACAACATAGCCGACAGGCCGGCCAGACGGCCCATTCCCGTACTGCTTGGGAATAGAAGATGCAGCTTGGACCAATCCTGTGTAAGAAACCATACGCGGAGGACGGATCGCGACTCCGAGAGCGTCGTGGGGAGAGAGATGAGAGCAGTAATCATTGAAGGGGCCCTGGGACACACAAAGAAATACACACACAGATAACAGGATTGCCCATATTTCCCCATATCTTCTGGGCTTCTGTCTCCCCCCCCACTTCCCATATTTTCCAATATTTTCGTGGGGAGTCGACGATTACAGTCGGGGCCCTGAAGAAGGAACCCTTTTCGTTGGGGAGGGGCTCCGTGTTCCTTAATTGTTTCGCAGTTTGCCTTGGATTTTCCTCAGGTTTTCGACACGAAATCGAAGTTCAACTTATGGAAAATAGAGGCCTCGTTCCTTATGTAGAGTTCCTTAGGTCAACGCCTCGACTGTAATTGTGCCTGTGGGGTTTTGTTCCCTCCCGAAGTAATCACATCAAGCTGGGCGCGCCCGCGCCACGTCTGACACCCTACCGGTGCCGTTAGCGACCCCTTCCCATGGAGCGGACCGTGGGGCCCCCCCCACAGAGGGACACCGTCGGGATATGCTCGGTCCGACATGGGGGAGCTGTGCCGCCTCCGACCCCACGCAGACTTACGACGACAAAACATAAGTCCCCACCGACTACATCCGACTACGACCTACGAGGCCGCTGGATTGGGGTTACTATCTTTGGGCTCACATGGGTCGCTATTGGGTGTGATGAGCTGGAGGACAGGCAGGAGGAAGAGGAGGAGGAGAGAGGAGGAGGACCAGGAGGAACTGCCACAGCAGGAGAAGGAGTGGGAGGAGCGGGAGGAGGAGGACCAGGGAAAGGCGGCGGAGGGGAAAGGAGGGGGGCAACAACGATGACGAAGAACATGGTTTCAGAAACTCGGCCCGCGCAGACGAGGGGAGCAAGGCGCCGATCCTGAAATAAGGAACCATTCTGCAGCGGGAGCACCATTTTGAAGGACCTCAGACGGCCGGATTGAAAACACACTTGGGAAACAACACCTCCCATCCAGCGCTTTTGATATCCAGAAAATACGCGGAGGGGGATAGGCTACTCCCAGGACGCCTTCGGGGGACAGAGGAGAGTAGTACTTCATACCAGGTAGGTGTTGAGCGTAATTGCAGAATGTATGGCGTACGAAGTATGCACACGGGTGAAAAGACGAGATTTTGAGAACACCATTCGCCGTCATGTGCCAATTCAAAATCAGGTGCTTATATATACACATATATATATATATGTATCATGCGTGGTGCTGTAGCGTGCTTCGCACGACCAGCTGAATGGGTTTGCCCTGTCCAAGATACAAAGAGTTCGGCCCCGATGTTCCCAGAAGAGGGCTGGGAACACACACACACACACACATACGCACGAACTACATCGTCCTACTGCTTTCTGCTCCTCCCCCTGCCACACACCCCAGCCCCTCCAAGCTGAGGTCGGCAGGAGCACGAACGCAAGAAGCCTCCCAACAAAAACACCCGACCCCGGAGGCCCCAGGGCGCCCCTTGATTTGTGGTGTGGCGACGCCACGCCCTCCGCAACAACAAACCATCGAAACCCGAGACACCCATGGGCACCCTGGAGGCAAGCTGGGTGCTTCTTGGCGTGGGCTTCTGCGGAATCGAGCCCAGAAAAAGAAGGGGTCACCAGCCTGGAACATGTCCCTATCCCTATGCTGGGCACCTCCTCATCACGATGCCAATCTTAGGGATTCCCTTATTTTTTGGGGGCGAATCCCTAAGATTGTCATCGCCTTTTGGCGTGTCAATCTTAGGGATAGGGATACGTTCGAGGCTGGTAAATAAGCGGCGCGCCCGGGGGGGAAGTGAGACGGGGCGGGCCTTCTCAGAAGGCTCGGAAGTCCCCCGGCCTTCTGAGAAGTTCTCTGAGCCTTCCCCGAAGACGCAACAACAACTTCTCAGAAGGCGCGAGGACTTCTGAGAAGCACCGCCACCTTCTGACAAGGTCTTCTCCTTCTCATTTCCCCCCCTTGCTCGCCGCCGAAAGAAACAACGGCACAGGCACAGGCCTTTTGGACGTCCGCGCGGAGCTCCCGGATCGGTGCTGGACCCACCTCGCTGGCGCCCGCAGTGCGCCGGCGGCGGCGCCCGCCTCGGCGCCGCCAGGAGGGCCCTGCGCCGAGCCGAGACATCCGCCGGGAGCTCCGAGAAGGCATGCGTTTGCCGTTGGTTCTACAGTCGGACGTGATTGTACAGGACACGCGGGAGGACACAAGACACAAGACCCTTCCGAGCGCCGCATTGCCATTGGAATGCAGGAGGCATGGGTGGCGAGACACAGGACATAATGGTACCCTTGATTTGGCTACTAATCAGTGCCGACAGTAGGTCGGGCGCGTCCTCCTACAGGCGGATTGTGGATTCAAGAAATATCAACAGAATGCCCAAACATACTTCTTCCAAAAAGTCAACACATCCTCCCCGGACTATGTCTTGACTATCTGGGGATATTCCTCCTGCAGAGGGAGAATGCCCGACGTCACGCCTGCTCTGCCTCGAGCCTCCCCTCTCCTCGGCCCCGCGGGGGGCCTGCGCTGCCCTGGGACACCTTGTTGACCAGGCCCCGGGGCGTGCACGTGGCGCTGGCGTGCCTGGCGATGCCCCCCAGGGCCGCCCTCTGGGCGTCCGTGCGCGAGTCCTCCTGGCGGTGGCGGGCCGAACATGGGAGGGCAGAACATCCCCCCCCCCACATTCGGGGATGGACAGACCCCCCTTTAGTAAAACGTGGTTTAGTGAAAACGACCTGAGGCCCAAACTTGGCGAGCGCAAGCCTGGAAAATAACGGCCACGGCGCCCTCTCGAGAACCGAAAACGGACATTTCACTAATCGACGTGTCACTGTTGGGGGTTCTGTCCATCCCCCCCATAATAGGGAACCGAGCTCTACACACCGACGCCTCTCTCTCAGGCCTCCCCACTGGAGCTCGCACAGGAAAGCGGATCCTGGTGTATGCGGGATCTTGCTGTATACATGCTTCGGTGTTTCCCCCGGAAAGCGGGGGAAAAAGTGTACACCACACCACCCCGACGTCGTCCCCGACCCTCAAAAAGTCCTGGGATCGAAAAACCGCCCGCCACTGGTAATGTATATGCTCCAGTTTCCGGCATACTAATCACCCCGACACACGAAACCATTTAGTAAACGCACCCACAGAAAGAATCGAACAGGGCAGGACTGTGTGTAGCAAACGCCCAGAACCGCCAAGTTAACGCCAATTCTCAGGTCCAGGTGGTTTTTCCTCCCTTGGGCACAGATCGGCGCTCGGGATCGCCCAGGTTGTCGCCAACTGATGTCACGAGACGAAACTTGCAACACATGAAATCAAAATCTGTGCGACAATGAGACTCGAGAAAGGGGTGAAGCAGTGAAGCTCTGCTCCACAAGAAAGCAGCACCAAACCCCTCCAGCACCAAAGGTAGCCGCTAGATCGGCGCCCCGAAAGAGCTCGGACAACAGCCAGGGCGCAACACGGTGAAAGGCTCCAAGCGGCGTCGTGCCATCGATACCACTATCCGACCCCAGCGGGCAAAACTCGTGTCCATATCCGCTGCGTCTTGGAGTGTCGGGCTCCGTTCACGAGGAACCAGGGGCGCGGTGGATAATTATGGATCACCAGCTGGCCCCGAGAGGCTCGATGGCTATCCACGTCCACTGCGCCTCGGCCTTATGGCGCCCCTTCCCGAAAAAGCCAAGACGCATTCCCAGACCCCCGACGCATGTTTTTTCATGACGTCGACCCCCCGAAGTCTCGACCCACTCCCAGGGACCGGTCTTTCATCCCGAGTCGTTTTTTGACGGCCCCGAGGGCCGGTAAGGGCCCCCAGAGGCCAAAAATAGGGAAAAACCTCCCGTCGTGATTTTTTCAGAACTCGAGGGGGTCTGGGTTAGATGTGGGCACCACTCGTGCCCGCGGATCCCGACCGTCCCCCCCCCCTCCGGCCGCCCTCGCGGCGGGCCCGCCGGCGGGCGGCTCGGCTCCTGCGGCGGCGAGCCGGCGGAGTGCACGTGCAGGATCAGGTAGCTCGCCGTGGTCTGGAGGTCCATGGTGAGCCTCGCGCCGCGGACCCCAAAGGGACGCGCGGGGCCCAGACCCCCTCGAGTAATGAAAAAATCACGACGCGAGGTTTTTCATGATTTTCGGCCTCTGGGGGCCCTTACCGGCCCTCGGGACCGTCAAAAAACGACTCAGGACAAAAAACCGGTCCCGGGGAATGGGTCGAGACCTCGGGGGGTCGACGTCATGAAAAAATCATGACGTCGGGGGTCTGGGAGGGACGCGCGGGGGGGCGTGCTGCTCGCCCGTGCTCTAGGAGCCTCTCTGGCGGTGCGCACAGAGCGGGTGGGGAGGGAGCGACCACCTACCAGACCACCCCAACCCAACCCGAAGACCCGAATTTCGGGTTGGGGGGGGTATGGGCTCCATCTGTGTTTTGTCGATGTTCCCGGACCCCCCCCCCTGGAAATGGAGGGCAAAATGAGGCCTTCGGGTTGAGTTGGGGTGGTTTGGTGGGTGGTGAGGGAGGGGGGAGGGCTGCTTGGAAGGAGGCCGCTTCTGAGAGGGCGCCGGCCTTCTGAGAAGCAGGGGTGCTTCTGAGAAGCCCTCCCCCCTGCCCCCAACCCCACTCTGCGCATGGCTGACCCCTGCTGGACACGCACGCCCGACCCGAACACGTCATACCATCTCGGCGTGCGGCGTCTCTCGAGCGGTAATTGTGGCCAAAGCGCGCCCGCCACGGAGCGGATACTGGAAGACTCCCGAGCGTGCGTGCCGCCCTTGCAGTCCGGCCGAGCGTGTCCCCCTAGAGGCGGATTCTGCAGGACAAATGAACACTAGTCGAACAATGAGTAACAAGCAATCATCAAGCAATCATTGAACAAACAAATCGTCCCGAGGCTATTGTTTTACGATTCTGGAATACTCCGCCTGCAGAGGGGCATGCCCGACTGAGCCCCTGCATGGCCGACGGACATCGGATCTATGATATTATAAGTATGTTGGGGCGGTGCCGAGTCCAGCCCGCGGCGTGCCAAGAAGGGAAGCTCAGGAGCTTCGGGCTCGAGGTGCGAGGCTTGGCGCACTCCTCCTCTCGGGCCAGGCGAAAGGGGGGGATAGCAGAGGGCAGGGTAGAGAATCAGCTCACGTATAGCTGATTTTCCTGGCGCATCCCGGCGCCGGGCGGCGCCCATGCATCGAGGAATGGGCCTGGCGGCGGGGCCGAAACCAGCTGCATGCCGCAAATTTTGTACCCCCCCCCTTTCCCAATCCCCCCCCTTTCGTCCGGCCCGATCCTCGGTCCTGGGCGATATCCTCCAGCACCGGGGCGCGCTCTCCAGCCGCCGCGCCTGGCCGAGAGAGCCTTTCTCTGGGATGTGCCCGGACATCGCCCCGCACGGCCGCTGGAGACGCGAGCTGCGAGGCCCCTCCTGGTATAGATGGCGTCGGAGCAGACCTGGGTCGAAGGATCTCTCGCCGCACCGACGACGCGTCGGCGGTACGCCGGCGATGCACCGGCGATGCACGATCCCGCCTCCGCCTCGATTCTCGGTCTCGATCCCCTCGATCCCCTCCTCCTCCTCCTCCGCCTCCTCCTCCTCCTCCTCCTGCTCCTCCTGCTCCTCCTCCCCGGCGATGCATCGTCGACGTCGGCGATGCATCGGCGACGCCGACGTGGAGCAAGTCGGGCTGCACCTCGAGCGATGCAGCGGCGAGGATCGTCGGCGATGCGGGCGCAATCCACCGACCCAGCCCGGGGGGCCTGCTGGTAGAGAGCCGTGAGCCCGAAAGCCGGGCTCGCCGGCGCGCCGAGGGGAGGGGAGGGTCGGGGGCTCAGCGCTGGGGCCCCGAGGGCTGGGGTCCTAAAGTGAAGGGGCCCAAGGACACACACAAATGCCCATTCGCGTAGAGGAGAAGCAGGAACCCCCAAGTTCAAGCACTGCTTGGGAATAGAAGATGCAGCTTGGACCAATCCAGTGTAAGAAACCACACGCGGAGGGCGGATCGCGACTCCGAGGGCGTCGTGGGGAGAGAGATGAGAACAGTAATCATTGAAGGGGCCCTGGGACACACAAATGAATGAACACAAATAAGAGGATTCCCCAGATTCTTCCATATTTTCTGGAATATATTCCCATATTTTCGGGTGAATCGACGATTCATTGTGTCTGTGTGATTTTGTTCCCTCCTGACTAAGAGCGAGGTGCCTCAGACAACGTAAATCCACCATTGGACCCCCTCCTTCTGTTGCATCCTCGGGGGACCTTGTCTGTCCCGTCGAAGCCATATCCGCGTCGAATCCGTGTCGAATCCACGTCGGACTCGTCGGATCTGCGTCGAATCCGTGCCGCATCCGCGTCGAATCCACGCCAAATGTTCGCGTCGAGTCCGCATCGAGCCCGCGTCGGGCACAAGAAAAGACACCGATTTGGGGGACAGGCGAGGTCCCCCGAAGATGCAACGTAACCTGCCTAGCCTGAGGACCCCATCCCTCGGGACCCCATCTTTGAAGCGCCGAGAGAGGGGGCAGGTCCTCACAAAAACCGGCGGGGCTTCTCAGAAGCCCTCCGGCCAACCGCTGGCCATCGCTCGGACGTCCACTCCCTGTGTTTTTGTTGCGGTTTCGTGCGTGGCTGTTTCGCCAAATGATCGAGGATGCTCCTCGATGGCCCTCGCCGAAGGAAAAATGCACACGTCCGAGCGATGCCAAGACCGAGGAAGCGTCTGCGTCTGTCCTGCCCCCTGTGGGCGCACTCGCGGATCCGAGGAGCCTCGAGGCCACTCGTCGCCACGTGCTGAGCTTGGCCTGATTGTTCCAATGGTACCTTGAGATGTGTGTCTGGTTTGGTCACCGGCTGGCTGACTGGCCAGCTCACTGATTGCTTGGCGACTTCACGGTCGACAAGCGCCGAGAAGGCTAGTGTTTAGAACCTAGACTCGAAGGATAACCCCACATATGTGCGGGTCGTGCCATGCAATCCTGTGCGGACGTGAAGCACAGGGCTCTGTCAGAGATTACGAAACCGACACTCATCTATGGTAAGATCTGTGTGGTTTCGGGTGGCCTGCGTCCAAGAGCACATGCTGCCTGGGTACACTGTCAGAGGCGTGCGGCTGGACGCCTGGGTATGCTCTGCACTGTCCGAGACATCATGGTAGGCCCAGTGTTCGTGCTGCCGAAGCGCGTCGCGTCGCTGCAGAGAATTGCAGGGTCAGTCAACTTCAAGCGACCATTGTTCTCAACTCCCTGCAAGTCCGCGACAAGGATATATTCATTCGAGTCGCGGTAGACCCACTCAGTGAAATTGCCGAGCTCCGGTCGAAAGACACTGTGGACCCAAATTCCTTTGTTGTCGTTGAACTTGGTCATTTGACGATCGCTGGACAGTGGCAACACTTCTTCCATATTGTAATGCGCGCCGCGATCGGTACGTATCATGCACGGCACGAGAAATTCCAACCTCCGTGCAGGACGCTCTGCTTCGTTAAACTGTTGGGCGCAGCATTCTGCAACGACTGATTTTTCAACTTCCAAACAGTAAGAATCCCGATCGTCACGGGTGCCCTCATTCGAGAATCGTTTGAAGACCATGCGCTCCCATGGACAGTCTGCCGAGGCCCGGTACACACCCCGATAGCATGTTCGGCTGCTACCTTTCGCAAATGGCTTTGGGGCCAATACACACTCTGCGCCCGCCAACATGTGCCACGCGCTTAGACCGTCCCTGATGGCCTCGATGCTATCCGGGACGTCGAGCTTGCAGCATTCACAACTCAATGGTGAGCAAGACTCAAGCATCTTTCAGTCTGTCTCAGACCAAGAAGCCATGTCGAAGTCGACGTCTTGCGCAGCAAGGTCATGTCGAATTGTATCGATAGAGCGTTGCACTGACTGGACAACAGCGTCTTCAATCTTCCAAGGTGCCTCAATCGAAATCATTTTGATGTATGGTGTCCCCAGCTCTTTGTTCAACTCATGAATCATCTTGTCAGTACTGCTTGTGATCCTCCCAAAGTAATAGTCAACAGCTTGCACCTCCATCAACAATCTGAGCTGCTCTACTATGTCTACTTCAGGTGTGCCCTCGGGGTACAGGTCGTACCTCTGGTTGCCGCGAAACTCCTCACTGCGGTATTTCGAGCCGTGGCAAGGGTCATCAGCCATGTGGAAGAGCACGCGGACATTGTGCTTCCAATGCCAACCGGCTGCATTCTTTAGTGCTCCTGCAACGTCCTCTGCCTTGTCCGCGTTGACGATAGCCTTGACATTACCAACGAAACCCACGAACTTGTCAACATCGCCTGAGAAATCGTGCATCTCGAACTGAGTTGATTTGTCATGCAAGTCGCGGTACCCCAGAAAACCTAAGCGCAGGTCCAAGTGTGGGTATCTCTCAACGAGCTTCCTCGCAATTGAGCGAATATGCGTCTTAACACCTTCGATGTAGGGGCCCATGCTGCCTGTGCAGTCCACCACGAAGAGCAAGTCTGCAGCATTATATTCCTTGATGCGGTCGACGGTTTTGTTCATGTTCTGCTGCGCCACCAAAGTCTTGATGATATCCTCCTGCTCCCTTGCCTTTCCCGCCATGGCATCAAGGCGCTTCTCAAGCTTGCTGATCGCAGCCTCCTTCGCCTCGAGCTTGCTGCCTAGGCTCCGAATTGCCTCCTCCTTCGCCCTGATCTCTTGGCGTTGGCTCAGAATCACAACTGCCATTCGATCTCGTTCGCGATTCTGTTTCCACCAAGCCAAACTGGCACCGATAACCACGCCGCTCATGCGGGCTATGCCACCGACTGCGCCAAGGTCAAGCAAAGGTCGCGCCACGGGAGCTGGCGCGTGGGCAACGGCGGCCGCACTGTGCCCGCCTACCGGCTCTGAGGCCGATGGTGGATCATCATCTCCCTCCGCGACGGCTGCCTCCGTGCCAACATCCCCCGCTGACGATCCTGCTGTCACGGGGCCTCCTTCAGAATCCCCTGCTAGCTGGACCTCTATGACCTGGAAGCACAGGGACCGGGCCCCCCCGGGCCCACGGCTCAGCTGCCTGAGCTGCTCGCGCGTGTTCTCATTGGTGAGGCGGACCTGCCGCGTGTCCTTGCCTGCCCGCTTCAGAAAAACTTTGCGCTCTTCGTCCGTCCCCCCCTCGCCGAAAAGAGATCAGAATCGGCCCACGGCCAGACACGTACCAAGCCGTCCTTGCCTGGCCAACGTGTCGAACCGTGTCCACTAATCGCGAAGAGGGGCCCTGGGGCCCTTGAGCGAGCGGACAGAAACCAGCATAAAATAAAATGACTCCCTGTGGGAAGTCCTCTTCCCAAAAGCACCGGCAACTGTATACCAAGACGAGTCCTGTATATGTAAACTTCCCGGTGGTTAGGAACAGGAGACGCCCACAAGGGAGCACGTTATTTAATCAGAGAGTGAGGGGGCCGAGCGGTCTTATACTATGCCTGGGTGCGTGGTTGAAGTGGGATTCCGCGGTTCGGATTCATTGACCCACCCCGCGACCCACCCCGCGACACACCCGCGACCCACCTGCGACCCACCCCGCGACAAACCCGCGACTGACCCGCGACTGACCTGCGACTGACCCGCGACCTACCCGCGACCCACCCGCAACCCACGCGCGACCCACCGGCGAGCAACGCCCGCACATTGAAATGAACAAATCGTCGCCTGCAGCAGAATGGTGATCTAAAACACGGGACAGCTCGCCCCTTGGCCGCCGACCAACCCACGCCAAGGGGCGAGCATATATACGGGCACAGCACCGTGCTGAATGCGTGGCCCTCGGCTGGACCTACCAAGCGAGGACGCAATACTGCATCGCGCGTGGCGTCAGCGTACCGGCGCCGAGCGCAGACTCCTCTCTCCGCCCTCCTTCCTCCTCACCCTCCTCTATCCTCAGGCTCTGGCTAAAAGCTGCTAGCGAAATATCTTGCCCCCTAGCTTAGAACTGCCAGCGAAATATCCACATCCACCTGGCCCAAAACTGCCAGCAAAATATCCTCCACCCCCCTCGAAAAAAAAACTCCCAACGAAATATCCTCACTCCCTTGGGCTTACAACTGCCAGCGAAATATCCTCACCCCCTGGCTTAAAACTGCCAGCGAAACATCCTCACCCCCTCGCTTGAAACTGCCCGCGAAATATCCTCACCCTCTGGCTTAAAACTGCCAGCGAAATATCCGCCCCCCTCGCTTAAAACTGCCAGAGGCATATCCTCACCCCCCAGCTTAAAGCTGCCAGCGAAATATCCTCACCGCCTGGTTTCAAGCTGCCAGCAACATATACCCATACACACCTCGCTTGAAACTCCCAGCGAAATTTCCGCACACCTCGCTTGAAACTGCCAGCGAAGTATCCTCACCCTCCTTGCTTAAAACTGCCAGCAAAATATCCTCACCCCCCCTTGCTTAAAACTGCCAGCGCAATATCCTCAGCCCCTGGCGTAAAACTGAAAGCGAAATATCCCCCCCGGAAATAAAACTGCCATCTAACGGCTTTGGTGGTTCAGTTCCGCCAGTCAGTCTACCTCGTCAAAAGCAAATTACGCGCTGCGCCCGTAAAACATCAGCGCCTGCGGCGGGCCTCTCAACATTACCGTTCGAGCCTCGCGCGAGGCCGCGCCCCGCGCAACGCAACGCAACGCCCGATCGGCCCAGGGCCGGTCCTGATACAGAGTACGGCGGGCCCCGCCCCGTCCCGCGACCCACCAATATTGCTTTACAACATAATCTGCGCTAGTTGCGGGCTAACCGTTCGGGAAAACGCGACGCCTGCGGCTGGCTTCTTTACATTGGTCCTCGATCCCCGCAGTCCTGGCGCCCCCTCACTCTTATCCGCAATTGCGGGGCTTTGGTATACTGATTCTCCGTCTTCGAGTCGAAGAGCAAACGGTGAGAGCAAGGACAAGCAAGACCTCGTCTAGCCAGATGCCGAAGTCAGTGGTGCGCGGGGAGACGTGCTCGGTCACCGCCCGGACGAGGTCCGCATAGCACGGCACGCTGAGGAACGACGATTCGTAATTCTGTCCGCTCAGAGGCAGTTGGAAGATTGCGCTTATCGCCTGGAGGCCATCACCGCCAGAGCCCGTCGAGCCGCCCAGGAGAGCCCAGGACTGGCTATCGGTGCCGTCGTCGGGCGAGCCTGAGGCTCAGAAATCCACGCAACGACTGATCCTCCCCTCCCCCCTCCCCTCGCCCCCTCCTTTCTGAAGACGAAGGGGAAGAAGGCAGGGGGGGACTCTTCGCTGTTTTTTCCACACTTCCGACGTCCCGATTTTTTGTCACGATGGGGGCTCTGGAACTCTCGACTCCGTCGCGGGTACGACGACGAAGACGACGACGACGACGACGACGATTACGACGACGACGACGACGACCGACGACCGACGACGACGACCGACGACCGGCGACCGACGACGACGACCGGCGAAGACCGACGACGACGACGACGACGACGACGACGACGACGACGACGACGACTACGTGTCCTGACGCCCGAAACCGCCCCCTGGGGCCGGAGATCGCGAAAAACTGCCAATCGAGGTTTTCGCCGACGCCGGGGGTCGGGGTATATTTCCGAGCCCCGCGAGCCTGCGTCGGATCCGCTCCCTGCAGCGCCCGCACCGTGCCCCGGCGCCAGGGCTCCTTCGGGCCCCGGCCCCCTTTGCATGGCGCGGCCTGGGCGCGGCTGGCCTGTACTTGCTCTGCTGTAGTGCCCCTTGGCCAACGCCGAGGTGCGAGCACAGCGACTCGGCCCACAAAATTCTTTATAAGTGTCGGACTCAGGACTGTAGCAATGACGATCTGCGCCGTCTAAATGATTGTCACTCGTGACTCGTGGATCCCACCCCTTCGTTGAGATACTCAAGGCTTTCGAACAACCTGCGGACAACTCTCCAGCCCTGCTACGCCTAACACTGCTGATGTTATACTCCAGTGGTATGCCGGGGCTGTCGATGTCGTTTGAAATTGTAATTGTTTTGTCCCGTGCCGTCCCCGCAATCGCTGATAAGGTGCTCTTGACCCCTGATTAGAAGTGATAACGGTGATGAGGGAGTAACACAACAGGTGGATCGACGGATTTTGCGTTCTTGATTGGAATGGGTCTCCAGAGCTTCCCACTGGAAAACCCCGTCTGGCTCGTGTCTGGCCGCTCTTCTGTATGTCCGTGCTCATTCCTGACACGGGCCTGACTCCGAGATGGCGCTGAGTTGTTCCCAACCATCATGTGATGTTGGGCCCTCTTTTGGGCGGCCCGCCGAAAAGTTAGGCAAGGGAGGAACGAGGGAACACGAGTGACAGGTAAAGGAACACAAAAAAAGAAAAGAGGATCCATAAAGGAGCTTCGGTGCACCACAGGGGGATGCGATCAGACCAATAATCACGTGCACACTCATGGACACCCTCTCGGGTGGTAAGGCGGTTGGGCGTGTGGGCGCCGCTGCCGGCTTTCGCTTGGCGTCCCACTGGGTGCACAACAGATCTACGCATGTCGCAACCTCGCGGTCTACCGATCACACGACAACCCAAGAGCCGCACCGTTCATCGATGAACCCCGCTGTTGACCCAATCATCTCGCGCCCCCCTTGTCGACCCAAATGTTCCATCAACTGGTATCATTATCCGCCCGTATCACAGCTCACCTATGGATGTCAATACCAGAAATAGTGAGATCCACCGGATGGCGTCAAAAAATGCTGTGAAAGGGGGGTCACTGCCCCCCCCCCCAGCAAACAACAGCAATAAAACTTCATGGGGGGTGGTCCGAAACCAGGGCCCCCCCCCCTAAACCTCCCACCGTCCGCAAAAACCGGGTGGGTCCGGACACCCCCCAAAGAAAATGTTTTGGGGGGTCCAGAACCCCTCGTCCCCCGAAGCAGGGACGACGACGACGAAGACGACGACGACGCCTCCTACGGCAATGCCAACGACGGCGACAACGTCAGCGGCTGCGGCGGTGCACCTGTCGCCTGCGCCCGCGCCTGGCGCCGGGAGATCCAGTTGTCATGATTATACAGGGCAGTGTTTAATACAGAAGTTTTTTTTTGTAATACATGATCGTAATACATGATCAATTTGTAGAATAATGTTTCATGCATGAAATCATCGTTGTTTTTAATACTAAATCCCTGCATTTTAATACATGATCCGCACGCGGAGCATGTATTAAAAACGGCCCTGTACTGGGGTGGGACCCAGCTGAGTTTTCAGAACATTCGAATCGGGTTCGATTGAGCTCACGCAGAGTCTCACAGATGCTCGATCGAGCTTTCATTACATCGTACTAGGGCTGGATCCAGATCTTCTGGATCCACAGCTCGACCGGCGCCCTACTCAGGCGAAATCCAGCTGGACTGCAAACCCACCAAGATTGGATCCAACTCTGTAGAATCCAACTATAGTTGAACCTAGCTTTGAAACAATCCCACGAGGGTCGATCCAGCTTTTATACAACCACTCAGGCTAGATTTAGCTAGGGTAGTCCCACCAGCCCTTTGGGCGTGAGTGGTTTAGAGAGCCCGCTCTGTTCTCAACCCCCCTTCTTCCCCTTCGGGGAGGGGTTTACCCCTCCCCCTACCCCCTCCCCCTGGGCCTGGAGAGGGAGTCCCGAGCGTAGTCAGGGGGGTCTTTTTCGACTCCTGGGAGGGCCAAAAAACGACGACCCTCACGAGGATTCTGGCCCCGACGGGGGGAGGGAGTTTGGCCCCTCGGCTCGTCTTTGAAGCCACAATCATTGATTTTACTACGGTTTTGGCCCCATTTTGGCGTCCTGAGGGGGCCGCGCTCATCTTCCCTCATAGCAACATCATTGATTTTACGAAGGTTTTGGGCTCAATTTGTCCTTTTCAGGGGGCAGCTCTCCTTTGCGCTTCTGCCCAAGATGGCCCCAAGAGGCCCCCAGGAGGCTCCCAAGAGGCCTCCCAGAGGCCCCCCAGAGGCCCCCAAGACGCCCCAAGAGGCCCCCAAGAGGCCCCCAAGAGGCCCCCAAGATGCCCCAAGAGGCCCCAAGAGGCCCCCAAGAGGCCCCCAAGAGGCCCCCAAGAGGCTCTCAAGAGGCCCCAAGAGGCTCAAAGAGGCCCCCAAGAGGCCCCACGAGGAGCCCGAACGACTCACACCAGGACGAGGGGCCCGAACGACTCACACAACGAAGAGCCCGAACGACTCACACCACAAGGAGGGGCCCGAACGACTCACACCAGGACGAGGCGCCCGAACGACTCACACCACGAGGAGCCCGAACGACTCACACCACGACGCGGGCCCCGAACGACTCACACCACGAGGAGCCCGAACGAGTCACACCAGGAGGAGGGGCCCGAACGACTCACACCAGGATGAGGGGCCCGAACAACTCACACCACGAGAAGCCCGAACGACTCACACCAGGACGAAGAGCCCGAACGACTCACACCACGAAGAGCCCGAACGACTCACACCAGGAAGAAGGGCCCGAACGACTCACACCAGGACGAGAAACCCCAAACGACTCAAATCACGAGGAGCGCTTTCTCTCCCTCCTCCTCCGCCTCGTCCTTCTCCCGCTCCCCCCACAAGGAGGATGTACAAGGAGGCGGGAGGAAGGAGGAACAGGGGAGATATGCGGGGCCAAGCGGACACACGCCTGAAAAACACGACTGTCGGCATGCTTCGCAAGAGTTGCTGTTGTGAGATGGGCTGGTGGGGATACGCGAAGCGTAAAGAATTTTTGTCCTTCGGCCGAATACAGCTCGAATCGAACTCTACCAAAGCTCGATCCAACTCCAACAGAATCCTGCTAAGAGTCGATCCAGCTGCTGCGAAGGTCCTTACGGAGCTCGGTCATACTTTCTCGGAAACCTACTAGGACTCGACACAGCTCTGACGGAATCCTACGGGGGCCCAACCCAGCTCTAACACAGTCCTGGATCCAGCTCTGAAAGAATCCGAATAAGTTTCGATTCGGCGCTGATAGTTAACCCAACATGGGCTCACCCCAACTCAAATAGAATATCAGCAGGGTTGGATCCAGAACTCATGAAATGATACTGGAAAGGTCGATCCAACATGAATGTTACATCCGTATAGAAATGGCATACAGCCCCAATATCGTCCTACTACGGGCCGACCCACATATCAATGTAATCCTACATGGGGCTGGATCCAGCTCTAGTGGAATTCAATTAAAGTTTGATCCGGCTTGTACTAGAACCCTACTGAGGCTCGAGCCCGTTCCAATCGTATCCAACTAGGAAACAATCATCGTCACCGGCGTCGTCGTCGTCTTCGTCGTCTTTGTCGTTTTCGTGCCGTCGTCGTTGCCGTCGTCGTCGTCGTCGTCGTCGGCGGCGGCGACGTCGACTTCGTCGCCCGTCGGCGCCGGCGTCGGCGTCAGCATCGGCGTCGACGTCGGCGTCGGCGTCGTGGGTCGTCCGTCGTTCGTCGTCGTCGTCGTCGTCGGCGACGGCGACGTCGTCGTCGTCACCGTTCGTCTTAGGAGGCATCTACTGGGAGGTCTTCGTCGGAAGGACTAAAGAGGATTAAGCCCCACTGGGGTGCTGTTACGCCAGATTGGGCCTCGGATGAAGCGGCATTAAGGCGGATCAGGCGGGATTAAGCCAGAATAAGCGGGATTAAGCCAGATTAAACGGGATGAAGCCGGAATTCGGACCAGGGCGAAATTAGAATTTGACCACCCAGGAGTTGCATCCAAATTCGTCGTCGTCGTTGTCGTTCGCTTCGTTTGCCAGCTTCGGCGACGACGTCGCCGTCGTCGTTACCTGGGGGCTGGAGGGGTGGGGATTCTGGACCCCCCTGTTCTTTCCGGGGGGGAGGGGGATTCTGGACCCAACCGACTATTTTCCCCATGGGGGGGAGGGAGGGGGGGGGCAGAGGGTTCCGGACCCTCCTCCCCTTCCCTGTTTTTTGGTGGGGGGAGGGGGGAGGGGGGGGCCAGCAGCGGCAGAAAACGTTGTTTCCAATATCGATACGCCTACTGGCCTTTTCACCACTTCCGATTTCATGGCGGGCTCCGGAAACCCTGAGCCCCCAAACAGTACCATCTCTTGGGGGCGCATCTTTTACTCCCGCCAGCTTGCGCCAGCGGAGGCGGCCTCGTTTTCCTCCCGGAGAGGTGATAACTTCTTTGGTCCTTCAAGGCGAGGCCCATTCTGGAACGCCCCACATGTCGAATTGCATGCCCATTCAATGTGGCAGTTCGCTAGTTCCTCTACGACTAGCCTCTCGCGGATTGATGTTCTGCTCTGAAGCAAAGAACAAACACTACGACACTGCCAATTGGCAAGTGCTTGCCCGCCTGTCTTTTTTATTGACGACTTCTTACCGACGTGGCCAGTGTGAATGGTAACTACTTGTCCGGGTGAGCTACTCCTCCCCAAAGCAGGTCAACGGTGTTCATTATGGCGTACATGTCGATGTGAACTTCAAACTCAATTTCGATTTGCAGCTAGTTTTACACATCGCTGTGACATGCGATTCACACGTCGATACGCGTGTCGATGGGCCAGTGGAGATACGATTCGAAAACAAGTCGATTGCAATTGGATGATTTCCGATGCGCATCTTGGCATCTCGGATGACTTTCCGATGTGCGTTGTTCTTTAGTTCGATGTGGATACATGTTTACACTTCGTTCAGAAAAACGTCCGTCCCGACTGAAAAGGATACGCTTTGTGGGTCGAACTTCACACGGGTCACGAAACAACCCGAGGAGCAACCACGCGACCACCAGCGGGAAAACCCACGGGACACCCCGCGGGACACCCCGCGGGACAACGTGCCAGAAGCAACCGCGGGACAACCGTGGGAACACCACGCAGTCGACCGAAGGAGAAGCCGTCTGTGTGTCGTGGCTCCGGCGACACCCTCACGCCCGTCGCCTCGGGGCAGCCCGGCCTCGCCCGCACGCGCACGACGCGCACAGGACCCGGAAGACAGATGCTTCCCGGCTGGGGCCGCTTCGCTCTCAAGCGCCCCCGCCTCCGACATGCAGCCCTGCGCGTCGATGTGCGTGCGTGTGCCACGTGAATCTGCGCACGTCATGAACCACCCTTCGGCTGAGAGAGGGCCTTCTTGAAGGGGGTGACTGGCGAAAATGGTCGGCGGGCGAGCCGCGTCCGACCGGGTTCGCAATCCATCCATCTCTCGAACACTCGTATCTGCCGGTTGCACTGCTCACCCGCCGAACTCGCTATCTATCTATCAGCCTCACTGCCGACCTACTGATATCACGACCTATCTATCGACCTCACTCTCAACCTACCTGTATCACTATCTATCAGTCTCAGTCTCAGAAAAGACTTACCGATCTAGTATTCATCTATCGGCCTCTCCACCACTTCCGATTACCTTCTGATATGAATGAAAATTACTTGTGGACGTTCACTCACCCTTCCTGTACCACCAACCTCCCTGTGCGACTGCTCTACCAGCTTACTGCCTGCCGTACCAGCTCGAAAGCATCGACAAGGCATTGTGACCGTACCAAGTGGTTTTTAACGGCTTGCACTTCGACATTGAAATGTCGGATTGCATTGCGTTGCGAGTGCAATCGGATCAGCACTGGATTGACATGTCGATGTGCATTTCAGTGTTATCATGTCGACGCTGAATCCGATGTATGTGTCAGCTGCATATCGACTTGATATTCGATGTGACTTCAGATGTGAAGTTCGATGTGCAAGTCGATGCATATCCGATGTGCATTTCAAATCCAATCGAATATGTAAGGCAGTTCAATCATTACTATGTCGGTTCGCATTCCGATTGCCATGCCAGTGGAATTTCATGACAGAGACTAGGCAACCACGAAACAGCCCGTGCGACAACCCGACGGACCGCCAGCGGGACAACCTGCAAGACAATAACGCACACAACAACGCACGGGACAACAATCGGAACAACCGCAAGACAGTCAACCCACGGGACAGCTCGCGGGACAACGCACGGGACGAACACGAGACATCCGGGGGTCAATCGCGGGGCAACCGCGGAGCAGCCTCCTTGGGGCAGCCACGGCGAGGAACCGCGCAAGCAGAGGAGAGACTGTTTGCCGCGGCCCTCGCGAAGCTTGGCCTCGCCCACGCGCGCGACATGAGCCGAAACAGATTCCCCAGTTGGGTGTCACTCAGTTCTCACCCCGCGACCTCCCGCATGCATCCTTCGGGTAAAAAAGGAGGTCGGGGGAGGGGACGGGTCAGTCATCGGGACAACCCTCGGGGACAACCATCGGGGACAACCGTCGGGAGACCCTTCGGGACAACCATCGGGCCAACCGTCGAATCACCATCGGAACAGCCAGGGCAAAAACCAGCAGGGCAACTCTCCAGACAGGCATCGGGACGTCCAGCAGGACAACCATCCAGACCACCGCGGGGGGGTCTCAGCCGCAGGACAGCCCCCCGCGCACGCCACGGCGGGCCGCGGCGCGACACATTGTGGCGCGGCCTTGGCCTGGCCAGCGATGGAACTCACCCACACGAACGGCGCAGTACCAAATCCGAAATGGATGTCCCGGTCTTGGGCCTCCGTTTCCCTTCGGCCTCACCCCTAGCCTCCGATAGTCCATGAAAGCAAATAGAGAAGAGTGTGAGAGAGAGAGGAGAGAGAGGAGGCAGAGGCAGGGAGAGGCATGATGTGTATGTATGCACAGGGAGAGACTACGGGGAACAATGCGTGTGCATATAACATGTATACATGTGGGGGTGGTAAAAGGAACACAAAGACAGACACAGAGAAGGAGAGAGAGAGAAGAAACACATGTACAAGAAAAAGAGGGTTGGATAGAGAGGGAGAGGGATAGAAAGAGACAGAGAGAGATATAATAGCAAAAAGGAAACAGCGAGATACATAGAGAGGGAGAGAAAGAGAGAGAGAGAGAGTGACAGAGAGAGAAGGGGCGAGCGAGAGATAGAGATAAAACAAGAAAGAGAAAGAGAGAGAGAGAGAGGAAGAGAGAGCATGAGCGGCGGCGCCCTCCCGCGGAGAGCCTGCCCTGGCCGTCCGCCAGCTGCATGGGCACGTCCTTGTAGGACCTCGGCCCGCGCCCGCCACGTCTGGCCGTCGTCGTCGCCGCCGCCGTCGCCGATCTCGTCGTCGCCGTCGCCGCCGCCCACGTCGTCCCCGTCGTCGTCAGCGCTGCGTCGTCGGGCGTCGTCACTCGGAGCTGGCCGCCGTCGTGGGTCGTGCGTCGTCGGCAGCCGCTGAGACTATCGGAGAGCGCCGTGGAGACCGCGAGGGCCCCCCCCCCGGCGCAGCCTCGGAAGGGGCCCCAAGAGGGCCTCCTCGAATCTGCAGCTCCTCCTCCTCCTCCTCCTCCTCCTCCTCCTCCTCCTGCTCCCCCTCCTCCTCCTCCTCCTCCTCCTCCTCCTCCTCCTCCTCCTCATCCTCCGCCTCCTCCTCCTCCTCCTCCTCCTACCTCGTCCTTCCTCCTACCTCGTCCTCCTCCGTCCTCCCCCTCCTGCCTCTTCTCCTCCCTCCTCC